GAAAAGCACAAGTTGCTAATGATCACTTTACCCGACACCTACAACAGTTAATATAATTACTAGCTAAGATATTTATTCATTTAAAGTAACTTGGCATACTGATAAATTAAAACCTAATTTTAAACTGGAGTTCACAACATTTTGCCTTACGTAAAGACAGATCTATTTGCATGTAATGGTTATTACTGTAACTCTAAAAAAGCTTTTAATACCTTTTGCTCTCATCAGGGTGAGAGGTTGAGCCATGCAGTAGGCTGTGCTTTTGCAGCCTGTTTAGAGCGTAAGCAGAAGAGGGAGAAGGAATGTGGAGTGACTGCTACTTTCGATGCTAGTCGGACCACTTTTACAAGAGAAGGATCATTCCGTGTCACAACAGCCACTGAACAAGCAGAAAGAGAAGAGATCATGAAACAAATGCAAGATGCCAAGAAAGGTACAGTCTGTTCTACTATATATTTGTTTAATTCAGTTTTTCCCAATAGGGTAATATTTTGAAGCTTTTAGGGACAAGTTATCTTTTAATCAAAGAGAAAGCTTAGCCATATAAGAAGACCATAATAACAAAGCTGAAAATCTTACAGAAGTGCCTTCCTTTAGAGTGACTAGTTTCCTTTAGAGTGACTAGTTTCATGGCTTCAAATTTATTCTTTTGGGGGAAATTGAGAGTACAGCTGATTCTTCAAGACATCTCCTCCTCCCATCCTGAAAACATCTCCCTCCCTCCCATCCTGAAAACATCTGAGTTCTAAGAGAAGCAAATGTCATCAAGTACCTGCGTCTTAAAAGAAGAAGCACAAGTCCCAGGGGTTTAGGGCTAGCAGAGATTTAATAGTGATCCTGTTTTTATTATTAGAGTATTGCTGGGTTTTAGTGCTTTACAATTACAAAAGTACATAGATCCAGAGGTCAGCCCCTAACTCTTTTTCTCATAGCCCCCCGTTAATTATAGTGGGTGATTTTATAGATCATGAGGGAGTTTTAGGTAACATAGCATCACAACTGAAATGCCTGTGCAGACATTCAAAACTCAGGAGTCTGTAAATTTGGGTTAGATATTTTAGAACCAAGTGATAGGACTTAAAAACATTTTGCATTCTGGTGTATAGCTGGGGTTGAAACCAACAAATGTACAAACAGTTCAGTTTAACTAATAGACATTACTATAATTTCAATAAATTTTTACTATGTCTTTTTAGTTCTAAACCAGCCATTTTAGATAATGTCATTGATTTAATAATGACCTACACATTTAATAATGTCTGTAGTAATAGACATTACTATAATTTCAATAAATTTTTACTATGTCCTTTTAGTTCTAAACCAGCCATTTTAGATAATGTCATTGATTTAATAATGACCTAGGCTCTAATTCTTAAGCCTCCCCAAAAAAGCATACATATTTTTATTTGTAATTAAATTATTAATAGTAACTTTTTTTTCATTTCTTATAAACATTTGTACCAGGAAACCAAAGAATGAAAAAAATGCATGCTCTTTACAAGAAAATGTAATCTATGTAGCCATTACTCAGTGTACTTTAGTGATTTTTTTCAAGCTGAAAACATATTCTTTAATACCACCAAATAATACTCATTACTTTACACAGCAACTCTAAAGAGATTCGGTCCTCAGATCTACAAAGGATCATAAGGGTTGGGAGTAGATTTTCCATGATCAGAATCGAACTCAACCAGTAACCCCATCAGAACAGTCTTATATTTAGGTTTAATCCAATTTAAAATTTTACTTCTGTATGCTTTTATTCAAATGAACCAAAAATACATATTTTCTATGATTTTAAGATTGCCTTATGTGACATTCTTTGATACCTAATCAAAAGTATATGTCTATATTTATGCTTATTTAGACTCTGTCATTCTCAAAAGTACCTCCTCACCGCTCCACTATAAAACACTGAAAACCATGTACTGTCATTTAAAAAAAAAAAAACAAAGCTCTGCGCCCATAGCATAGTGGTTACAGCACCAGCCACATACACCGAAGGTGGCAGGTTCGAACCTGGCCTAGGCCAGCTAACCAACATTGACAACTGCAACAGAAAAAATAGCCAGATGTTGTGGTGGGTGCCTGTAGTCCCAGCTACTTGGGAAGCTGAGGCAAGAGATTACTTGAGCCCAAGAGTTGGAGGTTGCTGTGAGCTATAACACCATAGCAGTCTACCAATGGCGACATAGTGAGACTCTGTCTCAAACAAACAAACAAACATCTCGCTCTGTTCTGATGCCCAAGCTGCTGGAATACAGTGGCACAGTTATAGCTCAAGTTATAGCTCACTGCAGCCTCAGACTCCTGAGCTCAAGTGATCCTCCTGCCTCAGCTTCCCACATAGCTGGGACTATAAGCACACGCCACCAGGCATGGCTAATTTTTTTTTTCCATAGAGACAGGGTCTTGCTATGTTGGCTAAGGCTCAGTCTCAGTCTCCTAGGCCAGGCGTCCTCAAACTACGGCCCATAGGCCACATGCAGCCCGCCTAGGACATGTATCCGGCCCACTGGATGTTTTTGCCACTGCTGCCTATCCTGGTAGCCAACTCGTCCCAGGGTTCACAGTCTGGCCCTCCAGTGGTCTGAGGGACAGTGAACTGGCCCCCTGTTTAAAAAGTTTGAGGACCCCTGCCCTAGGCTAAAGCAGTCTTCCCACCTCAGCCTCCCAAAGCCCTGGGATTATAGGCATGAGTTACCACACCCAGCCCAAAAACTATTCTTTAGAGGACCTCTTATTAGGAGTTCATAGGAACTGAGTTTATAGAATATTGTTTGAAGTCTTAATTTATCAATTACTACATAAGAATAAAAGATCTAACACATGGTAGATAATGTTGTGTGACATATAGTAAGTTATTAAACCTTTTAATCTGTCTGAAAAATAAATCTGAACTCTGCTTCTAACCTATCTTTTTTAAAAAAACATTGGGACGGAGGAAATACAGTTATATTCTGTATAACTGTATGTCTTAGTTATATAGAAATATCCCATAATATCCTGAAAAAACCTAAAGGGCTTTTGAGTTTGTCTGCTCTGTGAAACTCATATTGTCTAAAGACATTGCTAAGGTCCTCTTTCTCTTGATTTTTTGAGCTGAAACAGATAAAACAGTAGTTTGTTCATCAGTGGCTTCTGGCAACACTGCCCCATCCCCATCCTCTCCCACTTCTCCCACTTCGGATGCCACCTCTTCTCTTGAGGTGAACAACCTTCATGCCATCCCACGCCGGCATGCACCTATCGAACAGCTTGCTCGCCAAGGCTCTTTCCGAGGATTTCCTGCTCTTAGCCAGAAGATGTCACCCTTTAAACGCCAGCTATCCCTGCGCATCAATGAGTTGCCTTCCACCATGCAGAGGAAGACTGATTTCCCCATAAAAAATGCAGGTAATGTAGCAGCCACCTAACTCACTGCTCTAGCACTGAAGCATTATTATCACTTCCTGTGGAGACACTAATCCCTTTAAACTAGCCACTCCTCTTTCCCTGAGGTTGGTGGTGTCATTTCTCACTGAGGGAAAACTAAGGCCCATGGAGGGAAAAGATATGTATTATTAATTTCTCTTCAACAAATAGGTAACAGAGCCATGATGGAATTTCTAGCCTGAGAGGCAAGATTTGTGGTTTGTCCTGATGTAAATGTACTCACTACCTCTGAGCCAAACTGCTTGCAGACATCAGAGGACTTAAGTTTCCATTTTTATTCTGCCATTTGGGACCCAGCAGGGAATTTTATTAAAGAAACTTTATAAACATGTACATTTTAGAAGAATTACTAGCAGCTGTATCAGAAGAAATGGATTAGTGCTCACCGTCCTTCTTGCTGGTTGGCTCCATAGGACGAACCTCTAAATAGGTCTCTTGTATAAAATCTAGGATCTATTTGTTCATCATAGTGGTCTTGCTCACAAACATTATTTTCTAGAACTGCCACACAGGCCTTTGTGTGCCTCTGTACGACTGAGCTAGCCCCTGTAGCTCTATGCTCATCATACAGTTTGAAGCTAAAGTGTTAAATATGGTTAATTTATTAGGCCGTATTTTACTTCCCTCCTAGACACATCAAGCCATTGCTATAACAGAATATGAGGAAGTTCTTCTCAATAGGGTATTCCCACTGATGATGTAAGAGTTAAGTTCTTTTGATGGATGAAACTAGGCTTAAAGAATAAAAGATGATTACTGAGGGTCTTTTTAGCTCTCAACTCTCGCATAAACTGAATTCCAGCTGCTTCAAGTACCTTGTTTCAGTCTCCCTCTGGGGTAGACAGGGCACAAAACTGTTATTCTCTTTCTATAGAAGAGCAAACAAAGGTTTGGCACATACAGTTAGCTTCCTCAGTTATACAGAAATATCCTGTAAGATCCTGATTAAAGTCTTCTGGTCAGAGACTTTACTCCTCTGTTGATAATGTCTTGGTTGGTAATAATCAGTATTAAAAACAAAGTCTTGGGCAGCGCCTGTGGTAGGGCACTGGCCCCATATACCAAGGGTGGTGGGTTCAAACCTGGCCCCAGCCAAACTGCAACAAAAAATAGCCAGGCATTGTGGCAGGTGCCTGTGGTCCCAGCTACTCGGGAGGCTGAAGCAAGAGAATCAATCGCCTAAACCCAAGAGCTGGAGGTTGCTGTGAGCTGTGATGCCACGGCACTCTACTGAGGGTGACAAAGTAAAACTCTGTCTCTAAAAAAAAAAAAAAGTCTCTAAGAGTCCTATATCTCTGTTTACTTTTTCATGTTATCACAGTTCATATACTTGGTACTGGAGACTTGGGAGAAAAATGAGAGTGATGACGTTGTCAGTTTGATACAATGGGAATAGGTTGGAAGGCATACAGGTTATATATGTCCTCTAGATAAAGTTCCAGTTAGCTGAACATCTTGGCACAAATAGCACCAAATTTCCAACAGTGTTAAAAGAAAAGCAAATTTTAACATTTGGGAATTTGCAAAGGAAGATTTACCTTAATACATGAATTGTTTACGTTTTATACTTTCCCATTTGAAAATCCAGTGAAAATAATGGTCAGATTTTTTGAAGCTGCTTTTGTAGTTCTATCAGACAGTTAATTGAGCTGTTTTCTTTCACACAGTGTTAAATGGCAGCTTGTATCATCTATTGTATTTCAGGATTATTCTGTTTTTCTGTCTGGAGCCATTTTCTGTTTGCCTTGCAGTGCCAGAGGTAGAAGGGGAAGCAGAGAGCATCAGCTCCCTATGCTCACAGATCACCAATGCCTTCAGCACACCTTCTGAGGACCCCTTCTCATCTGCCCCAATGACCAAACCGGTAACAGCAGTGGCACCACAATCTCCTGCCTTCCAAGGTTGGTGCCCTCTGACTTGCTTAACTGTTCTCTTTAAAACTAGTACATTTAGGCTCGGCGCCTATAGCTCAACCAGCTAAGGTGCCAGCCACGTACACCTAAGGTGGCGGGTTCGAATCCCCAGCCCGGACCCGCCAAACAAC